TTAAGGGCATGTGATTATTAAACCACTACACGTGAGTGTAGTTTGGCACCACCCTAACCCTGAATCCTGGTAGCCTGAATAAGATAAAAGAGGCAGAAAGATGTTGTTAAACTCTCTTGTTAAGTAACATTGCTGCCTCATGAGCACCATGTTGTTTCTCCTCTGTGATGTTTGTTTGCCATCCCTGTTTTGGAGCCAGCTGAATATGGACTGAAACCTCTATGAACTGTAAGCCAAATAATCCCCTTCCCTTTTAACTTTGTGTTTTGGGTATTTTCAGCAATGAGAGAAAAGTAACTACACACCTCCTAGGGCCTTTCCCCATGAGCAAGCATCTCTCTTTTCTCTTCTTCTTCTAGGAGCTCACCAGTACTAGTGGATTAGGGCCTCACCTGTATGATCTCATGTAACCTTAATCACCTCTCTAAAAGCCCCATCTCCAAGCACAGTCATAGTGAAGATTAGGGCTTGAATATATGAATCTGGGGAGGAGGCGGAGTCTGCTCAGAGCAGTGCCAAAGACATACACAGATCAAGATATAGAGCATCACTATCTCCACAGCACATGGTTTGTATGCACACACCCCATGAGTCCTCTGATCTCGTCTTTCCTCACACTAAGTGGAACTGCTTGCCTGATTTTTGTAATAGTGGTTTTCTGTAATCTGACCACCAATGTAAGCAACTTTACACCATACAGGTTGATCTACTTTTGAAATTTGTGTAATGAAGGTGGGCTTCTAAAATGTTACTTGAAGTCTCCCTTTTTCTGCACAGTTTCTTTCTGAGAGTCATCGTAATGTATTTAGTTTGCTCATGCTGTTCAAGGACGAAATGTTGAATATCTAGATATGAGGGCCATGAAATCCCCTTCACAATTAATTAGTTCTACCATTGTAGGGTGAAACAGAACACACATATATAAATAAGTGGATGTGGTTATTACGATAAATCTTTATTTACAAAAACAGGTGCCAAGGGTATAAGCTGTAGTTTCTTGGCCTCTGGTATATAACATCTTTCATGCATGATACTAGTTATTTATAGTTTCTTCCTATTTCCCTCCATAGTTTTTAAAAATATTAATAGTATTTCAAAATAAAATTAACTTTTGAATGGGTCAATTTCTGGACATAGTTGCCTTTTTGATTAGTAGTATTTTCTTTCAGAAGATTCAAGACATTTCATTATCTCCTGACTTCTATTACTGCTGCTAAGAAGTTAGTGACAAATTTGTTGCTCTTTGAAGGATATAACTCATTTTTTGACTATGTTTAAGAAATTCTACTTGTCTTTGACGTTCTGTACTTTTACTGGAATATCTTTAGATTTTGGAATTAAAAATATATTTCAAAATATATTCATTGCGATTCTAGAATGTCTTTCACTATTTCTGAAAATTTCTCTGCTATCGTCTTCACAATTAACTCTGCTGTTTTCTCTCCCTTCCTTCAGAATTCCAATTATGTATATATTTTTCTGTTTTTTTCTTACTTATCTCTTAACTTCCCTATCATGCTTCCTTCTTTTTGCTTTTCTGCTCTGCTTTCTATACAATTCCCTCTGACTTATTTTCCAGTTCATTTGTTCGCTCTTCACTATGTCTTATTTGCTTTTAAGTCCATCTATTAGGTTATTCTATTTCAAACATGATAATCCAATACTCATTTCCCATATCTCTCCTTGGTACCTTTATTAGTATGCTAAGTTTATAGTTTCTTTTCTTGGTAAATACTTCAAATAAGCCTTTTTTTTCTTTGTACATAGCATAACCTATTTTACAGTCCAAGTTTTATAAACAGTTGATAATTCTAATATAAAAAACATTGAAATCCCGGCACTTGGAAGGCTGAGGCAGGGGTATCATTGTAAGTTCAAGGACAGCCTGGGCTACATAGTGAATTCAAGGCCAGTCTGAACTACATAGCAAGACACTATCTCAAAAAAATTTGATAGGGCCAAGGATTTAGCTCAGCAGCACCGCACCAGCCTTGCAAGTGCAAGGTCCCAAGCTTGATCCCTGGTACCAAAAAAACCAAATTGATAGATCTATTAGTGCATTTGTTTTTCTTTTTGATGGTTCTTGTTCAAGGTTTCCTTTTCCCTATGTGTTTAATTATATTGTCTTTGAAAAATTTCATGAGTGTTCTTTGAGTTTCAGGAGAAAGCATTTATATGTAGGATTCCTATGAGAACTATCTATTTGTTTTCAAACACTTTACATTTATGCAATAAAGGGCTTGTGGCTGTTTTTTGTGTTTTGTTTTTGTTTTTGCTTTGGCTACTCAGGTGATAGGATTTTGGCTTCAAATCTCCAGGATGGCCAACTTTCATATACAATGTCTTGGGGGCAGTTTCTTCTCCTAACAGCTTACTTATAATGAAAATGACTTCATTCAAAATTGGGGTTTGAGGACAGAAGCTGCTTTGTTTTTCACCTTCCTGCAAGAGGATGACACTGGGTCTCCACCCACCTGGCAAAGGCTGTCTCTTCAGCTTCGTGACCAGGGCACTAGGCCTCCTTCCCACAGCTATGACTTACTTCAGTGAAAAGCTCAGACAAACACTCCCAGAGCAAAAAGGCCTCTGCTCTCCCTTGGTTCTCCACTGCCTTCTTTCCCTGACTTATCCTGACAGTTCCCTTCTATACATCTTCACATCTTCAATGCTCATAAAATGAAAAATTTTAATCTAAAATTCTATTACTGAGGTGTTCTGAAGTGGGAGAATTCATTCAAATAATCGAGACTAGAAAGGAAAGTTTGAAAAACCTTATGGGAGACTTTGGGTTTATTTATTTATTTATTTATTTATTTATTGCCATTTCCTGTGTATTTTGGAGTTTTACTGGAAATGATCCTTGAATTTTCCTCTTTGTGCTGAATTACTAATCTATCATGAATTGAGACTGCAAATGTTTAAATTGAAAACATAATTCTTAGATTTGGCTCTACTTTAAAAATTCATTACCAGAAACTGAAACACCAGTGATTTTCATTGTCCCTGGTGCTGTTCTGGTCTGCTGGGTAGTAGTGGTAGCAGTGAGTGCTGCTCAAGGTGCCCAGAGCTTGGATTGCTGAGCTTCTACCCTCATCTGTCTTCATTATATAATTCTGCCTCCCAGCTCTGCCAAACACAAGTTTAGGTGAAAAGCAGCCTTCTCCTCTGTCACCTGTCAAAGCCATATGCTGTTGTTTGGTTCCAAGCCCAGAGAGGGAAGCAGGCCCTGTCCTGCTCTTTGAAACTCTCAGAGCACTTTGGATTTGGCACCAAGACAAGGGAACCAGAAAACTCATGTTTTTACCAGCCACTAAGTATAAATGCAATAACATTTTGTACTGTACAAACTACAAGCAGTGATCAAAACATAGTGAGAGTTTAATATTTTTTACATTACAGTAAAAGATACATTGCCATTAACTGGTCCCTCAAAATACTCCTCCTTGTTTTGAACATTCTTATCTATCAGTCATACCACTTTCTGAAGCTGTTTTGGAAGACTTATTTGTGAGCATCTGTATGAGGCCTGATCAAAAGTACAGTGAATCCTGAAGCCAAATGCTGTCCAATGGAAAGGCAGGCTAATAAAAACATTATGGTGTGTCCTCATCCACTTTATTCATCTGACCTGGCACCATGCTATTTCCAGCTCTCTCCCAAAGTCAAAATGTTCTGAATCCATTCAAGATATCAAACTAGCCACTAAAGCAGAATTTTTTTTTTTTTTTTTTTTAGTATGAGGGATCGAACGCGGGCGCTTGTGCTTGCGCAGCAGGCGGCGAAACCACTGAGCTTAATCCCTGGCCCCACCACAGCAGAATTAGATGCTCACAAAAGAGGACTTCCAGAGCTGCTTCAGAAAATGGCAAGGGGGCTGAGATTCCCGAGTTCGATCCCCGGTACAAAAAAGAAAAAAATGGCAAGAATAATAGGATAAATGTGCTCAAAGCATGGGGGTGGTATTTTGAGGGAAATTAATGGCAATGTGTCTTTTACTGTAATGATTTTGTGTGTGTGTGTTGAAAATGTAATTTTAATAGATAATTCTTCATCTTACATGGGAGCACAATAAAATACACCACGTTCTGAAGAAACTCCAGAAGTTATGAGAATGAGAGTGAAGAAAATCCAGATGGGCTATAATATCTATTACTTTAAACTGCAAGAATCAATGATTCCAACCCAAAGGTTAACATTTACATATTTATGACTGGCTACATAAGACTTAAAAATAACAAAAATTGGGAATTAGATGTGGAGAGAGGTGAGAAAGAACAGTTTTGTGAGGGAAGAAACTCTTCTCTATGAAAAATTTACTAAAACTGAATTAAAAGCTCCCATAGTATACTAGAAAGGATGGATGTAAGACTCATTAACTCAAAGTCTGATGCTCTTGAAGGAAGAAATCTTTCTGATGACATGTAATGCAAGCTGCTTGAGATTACCTCTTAGTTCTGTAAGGAAAACTTGACAAATATCTCTACAAACCCCAAATGATTATCAGACTGATATTTCCTAAGCACACACCAATGGTAATACATGAAGTTTTTGGACAAAAACCAAGAAAGGTCATAACCCAAAATTGAGGCAAGAAGAAAAAAAAAACTAGCACAAAATATGTGAAAGTCCTAGATGTCAGTAACAACTGCCTTCTTTGCTGCAACTCTCCTGTACAGTGATTTTCAAACATTGTGGCAAGACACCTACGATCACCTAACCAGAAAACACAAAGTATTTATTTCAAATTTCTAGGGGATTAAGAAAAAGTCAGATACTGATGCTTTATGCATACTCAGGGCCTGTTTATAAATACACCATTCAGTAATATCTTAACACAAATTTGCATCCGTGAAAAGAAATTGGCAAATCCATCTCTTGCCATTCTATTTGTCAGATGGTGAAGACCAAAACAGAATGTTCCATCATTTTTAATTTTTAAATACAATTGTCCATTGGGAAAATGAAATAAACACAGTAAAATAAACTGTACAAAGGCAAAGTAGAATAACAAAAAATATTTTACTAAAACATAAGATTTACAGAAGTTTCCAGACAAGCCATACAAAATGGTCACAAGCTTTTTTTGAAGGGGGGAATCTACACTTAACAGCAAAGTCACAATGTTATTAGTGAGGCCTGCGATGTTTGTTAATGTTCCCATTTTGGTTCAAACAATCAGCTTGTCCATCTATATCATCTAAATAAAATTAGACTTGGCTAAAGAGCATATTCTAGAGAATTGGTTAGCTGCTTTTTAACCAATGCAATTAGATCACCATAAAAGGGGAGAAAAGGAGTCCATAAAATTTTGAAACTGCTTTTCCCCTCAAAAAATAAAATAAAAAATACCCATACCTCTGCAGCTAACCCTGACAACTACCTTCATTCGCAGTGCTTTATACTTAAACCATGAGGGGGAAAATGAATAGAAGCAGAGGGCCACTGCTTTTAAACGTTTCACGACAATCTCGATACTTTTAGCCTCTGCTCATGTTTTACAACAGTGAATCAGGACAAGACATAGATTTTCTAATGTGCATTTAATCACCAAAGGACTGGAAATGTCTCAACTTTTATTCTGTAATGTTTCTAAGACCGTGTCCATTAAATGCAAACAAAAAATGAAGACGTCTTGGCAGAACAGGAGAAGTGACACAAACTTGATTATTCATGGCATACAGCCTAGTCCATGCTCTAGCTGTTTCTATGGCTTGGGCTTCCTTGGTTTTCCACTGCTCCGCTACATCGTTTGCTAATGGGTCGTCTGGATTAGGAGCACTTAACAAAGCCTGGATGGAGAGCAGAACTGTGCGGATCTGCAGTGCTGGGGACCACTTATCTTTCAAAATATCTAAACATATTCTTCCCAACTTGTCTACATTAGGGTGATAAATTTTGGTCATGAAATGTACTCTAGGTGCTGCCACTGGGTATTCTTCTGGAAGAAATAGTTCAAGCTTAAAAGTCCCTCCCTCAAAGGGGGAATCCTCGGGGCCAACAATGATCACATGAAAATAACGGGCGTTGCTCTCATCTGATTCCGCTTTAATGCCAGGAACTGGTTCTGCCAGCAAACGCTGAGTTTCCTTGATGATCCTGCGAGGCGGCCCTGCCACCTTATCAGATGCAGTCTTCAGCCTCTGGCCGGCCGAGTCTCCGGCTCCACTCGCCTCATGCAGGAGTGGAAGTTCCCGGCTCCACTTCCAGGGGACGTCTCCGTGCCCCCCACCGCCATCTCCAAGGCCCCTCGGGAAATGTAGTCCCTGCTCCGGTGCGGGTGAGCTTCCCTCCGACCTGGCCCTCCCCCTTGCTCCCCACTGTAATGATTTTTTTTAAAAATTAAGCATTACCTGTATTTGTTGATCATACCTCACGTGATGGTTCATTTTAGGGACCCACTGCACTACCTGAGAATGCCCATGTGCTGGCAGTAGGACTCTGGTGTCTCTTTTACAGTTTTCTGATCAAGCAACTGTGACACTCTCTCACAGGACAGCAGCCACAACCAGTGCCACCAGCCAGTGTTGCATCTGTCTCAATTACTGCAGCAGACTCTCTGGACTCAACAGAGGAGACACTACTTTAGGCTGTCCTGCTGCAGCCCAAGACACTCTTACAATCAGGTCTCTCTGCACAAGTATGGCCAAACTTCCAGTTCTAAAAAGTTTTGGAAACTTCAGGAATATAAGGGTAGCCTAATAAAGAAAAAACTAAAAATGGTACTGTTCTCAACTTCAGGTTCGTTCTCATGGATTCTTACATTTGCCTTCTCCACGTCTGTGAGTGAGTGGTCAGTTTACCTCACTGTCCATATATAAACCCCAATAGCTTTTCACATTTCTCAGAGTCTCTGCCTCCTTCTTGGTTCTTGGGTCTATTCTGGGATCTCTGCCCCTGAACAGAGGCTTCCACACTAACAGGATTTCCTATACATCCTAGGGGCATAATTTAATCAGACAATGTTGGCCAAACATTGTAGGTTCTGGATTACTTCTAATAACACTGGCAACACATTCCAGATTCAGTGCCATGTCCCTGAAATCAAGGGAGAACCTGAATAAACCCTCCTTCATTTCTTTTTGTTATTTGCTTTAGTCCCCAATTTTATAGGCCCCACAGCTGAGCAACACACTCCCATTAGATTTGGTATGGTTAACACCTGTGTCATATGGGTCAGTAACAGTTGCTTGATTTGCTTCTCAGGCACTTGAAGATAGATCAAATCAGCTGAAACCACCAACCTTCGCTCTGACCTCCACAAGTATCTAACGTTAGAGAACCAAATGCTCATCCTCTGAGTGTGCATCCTAGGAAGAGCCCAGGGAAGTCTGATTACATATGTACATTTCACTTTTCCTTATCTCCTATCACCTTTCCCATGCCACTCAACTTGGTTCCATAAATACCCCTAAATTTTATGCTCAGAGAGGAAACTTAAGACCTACTCTCCCATCTCCTCAGGCTTGGCTGCCTCTTGAATGAGCTTTTTTTTTTTTTATCGTGTCCTTGATTTTCATACTGCACAGCAGACCTGGCTTGGTAACAGATTTATATCAGTGCACGTTTCATAGTGTGTCAAACAGTGGGAGCTGAAGATTTTCCTTCGCATGTCCTTTCTGCAGCTTTTAGGTCATTCTTGGGTCTCCCATAAGAAACTCCTTGAACCAAAGTACACCTCAACTGTCAAAGAAAAGAAAAGCAGGACAGTAGTTACAGTAGGAGAAGCCAATTTTAACCAGTGACTATAGCAACAGGGTAAGAGACCTTGGTATATAACTAGGCTCAATTCTGAATACAGTATGACAAAGTGGGGACTTATCATCAAAAAGCAAGTAAAGGGTACTGAATGAAATGGAGATAGATTCTTGCTAAGCTGATTTGAAAGATTCTTGATAAAGGCAGACTAAAGTGATCAGATACCAAGGGAGAAGGTTCTGGTTAACTGGACTTTTCAAGATTCTTGCTAAAATTGGACTCTTAAGGGTAAGGGCCAAGGTTTGAAAATGGCTCAGATGGGCATATTTCTTTATTTTATTTTATTTATTTATTTATTTATTTATTTATTTTACTCTAATCCTATGGACTGTGTGTTTGGAATTTGGTCAGGGAAGTAGTCATTGTAACCACAAAAATGAGAAATAAATTGCTTTGCAAATCTATATTTGGAAATGAAATAGTTCTCTAATGAAGTTGCTTTAAAATTATGGATTACAATACAGCAGAATTCTTGAAGTCAACATGATGAGAAATCACAGACATTTTAAACAAACTAAACTAAAAATAAGAATTATTATAAACTTCTGTGTAATACCAGAAAGCTGTGTATGAGGCAGGTGTGTGTTTGCCCATCCAGTCACAGTGTGAAGTGTAATCACACTGCACCCTCCCCAGAAGGTTCTGCTTTAGTGAAGCAGCTGTGCAACCCAGAGCAGCAATCTTTTTTATTATTATTATTCTGGGAAATCCAGCCAAAGCCACTGCTTCTCCAACAACTTCATCTCTGCAGTCTTTTTAATATTTCATTTGCATAATTGAAAGTATGATCCAAATGATTTTCCTGAAAGAATGGAACTCCCCAAAGAGTATTAGTCTCCATTTCTAGAGAAAAGAGCATTGTTTCCTGCTTTTAATAAATAGCTTTTTCTCCCGTCAGCTTTCTACCTATCAAGATTTGCAAAAATGTCTTATTCAAATTTCAATTAAGGGATCTTAAATACTCTAATTAACTCTATTTTTCACACATCCATTTAAGGCCTTTTATCTGGATCCTCAATAACATAAACTAGTAGGTGCATACCCCATTTACATTTATTTCCCACTAAGATGGTACTTAAATGCGGCTTATTAAAGCTAAAACATGGTGGGTGGGATCTAGACTTAAAACACAGGCCAGCCAGACTGAGTAGTTAATGAAATGAAGGGATGATCCAGGTCAGCTGAGGAGCTGCCAGGCCAAAGTCCATCCCTACTACACAGGTCTGTCCATGTCCAAGCAGCTTTTGGTGCCATCCAGTGGTTACTGTCAGTTCCACTTGAGATATCACTGCAAGGTTGGGGATTAGAGCTGGGTTGGGTTCTGAAGACCTCCAGGCCAGCTGGTACCTGCTTCATAGGCCATTTCCATGCTAGGTGGAACAATAGAAACTGGAGTTGTGAAGACTCAGGCTCTACCTGCTGGCTTCCAAGCTAGACTCCCTCATCTGATAGTACATTTCTCTTCTACTCCTTTACCACCTCCCCTACCAACACTACTGTGTTGGAAATAGTAGCCAGGTGGATAAAGTTCATTTCATTCTATTTGAATTTTTAGTAATAGTGGAATTGAACAGTTATAGGAGAGGGGAATATATTTTTTCCCTTTACCTTCTTAGGCTTTCCTCTGGGTGGGTCCACTATAAATTATACTAACAAGAGATAGATTACCAAGAGAAAAGCATGTAGGTTTATCGGATATAAGTTTTATGTGACACAGGAACCTTCAAAAGAAAATGAAGACCTGAGAAAACAGTAAACCTGAGTATTTTTGGAGTGGGTTCCATGAAGAGTAGAAAGTCAGAGAAAAACACATGAGGGCAGAGGGTGTGAGCTCAGAGTGGTGAAGCAGGTGTAAGAGGAGTTAGCAAGCCCCTTCCACTCAGATCCTGTGTGCACCCCATCTCTGGAGATAAGAGTTGTCCTTTTCTCTAGGTGAAGGCAAGACTCACTTGAGGGTCTGATCACCTTCTTCAGGAGATAATGGAAGGTTAGTGGGGCTTCTCTACATCTGCCAAACATGCCAAGTGCCGCAGCATCGGGTCAAATGTTCCCAATCCTGTCCTAGTTCTTGTCATAGTACATGTGATCAAATATTTTAAAATATGGGCTCAAAACCACTGTAAGGTGAGGAGGAAGAGAGTGTTGGAGTGAGGGATGAGAGTTGTTTGGAAAAGTGCATCAACCTAAGAATACCAGTGACTCACAGGTCAGAGAAGGGTGGTTTGCTGTAGGCAAAGGAGTAAATAAGGCTAGAAATAGCAAGATGAAACCATAGATGGAAAGTCACAGAATGTTTTGCCTGCAGCCAGCCTTATTTCCAGTGCAGATGAGCTCAGGGTGAGGGTGAAAAATTTCAGGGGCTTGGGAGAAGTTTGATTAACACTGGTTCCAACTTATTACTTATTAGGCGAGTGTTTCACCTGATTGTTCATGAGGTCAGGGATAGGAATTTGGTGGTTCTCTGTCTGGAGAATCAGACATGAATAAGGGGGAAACCCATGAGGCTTAGTCCTGTGAAAAGATGCTCCTTTTTGTTAAAAAGTCATAAACTCAAAGGGTGAGGGGGGTTTTCACTGCACTGTGCTCCAAGAGAACAACACTCAGGTACAATTCAGCAGCAGCCATCTCAAATGATAACTCCTGAGCAGAGGAGGATGTAAGTCCCCTGTGGAAATTCAGAAAGTGATGGTAGTATAAAAATGGGGCCAAGTGGAGGCCTCACATCCCAGGTGACACGTGGTCTAGAGTGCTGCTCTTGTCTTCTGACAAGTAGCTTTGCTTCTATCATTCTTTATCATCAGGAAATTTTCACAGGAAAAATAAACACTCTTCAGTGTATACCTTTCTGACTGTGCTATCAAAAGGGAATTCCATGGGCTAGCAATGGCAACATGATGAAGCTGTTAGTAGTGTTAACCTGCTGTGGTTTCAAGTGATTTTGTAGGGGCTCAGAAAATGATACCTCAAGGTGAAGTCTTTAGGAGCAACCCATGATGCAAAGTCTCACTGTGACCTTCTCCTGCCAGAAAAATCAGAATTCCTTTTCTTCAAGCCAGGTCATAGAAACAAGCACCCTTCCTCTGCAAAGCCAGCCATAAAGCCTAAAAAATATTACTCCAACCTTCTCCCTGACTCTGTGCAAACAGCTGGCCAGAGAGGAATTCTCTGACCTAACTTGTATGATTACAGGTCATAGACCCTCATTCCAGGAGTCCTGCTGTGTTCCTGGGAGGAAGAAATGCAATGGAGAGGGCCTGAGGAAAATCCAGACAGCCACGTGGGGATTTTTCCACTCTTCCTGTCAACATCAGCTCCATGTTGTTTGTCCACTTATATTTCTACACAGCTGTCCATGCTTCACTGAACCTAAATGTCAGCTTTCTATTACTGTGACAACACACCAGAGAAAATGAACTTTTAAAGAGCAAAGGTTTATTTTGGTTGTATCAGAGGTTTCAGTTTATGATCATTTGGCCTAATACCTCTGGGATTGTGGTGGAAGTATGTTGTGGAGAAGGCCTATTCCCATTATACCCAGCAGAAAAAGAGACAAGAAGGGGCCAAATCCCAGCATCACCTTAAAGAGCATTCCACCAGGGACCTAAGTTTATCCATGAAGTCCCACCTCCTA